GGCAGGCAGGCAGGGTTGTGGGGAAACTCCATTGCTGTGGTTTGGCCACATCAGAGCAATTAAGCAGGGAAGGGGGGAGGCCAAGGTGAACGAGCAGCCCGATTCGGAGTTACGATTTCCCAGAAGCGGTTGAGCGCCCCGGGTCATGTGACCAGGCACTCACTTCCTCCTGCGCTGCTGCTCCTCCCGCTGCCGCTTCCTGTCCTCCTGCAGCTTGGCCTTCTTGGCAGCCACCTCCTGCCGCTTTTGCCGCCTCAGCTCCAATTCCGCCTCACTCAACGGCCTCTTCCTGCGACTCGCAGTCATCAGGGGCCCGGACAGGGAGACCTACCATGGACGGAGCGGGGCACCATACTGACATGCATGCATACTAGGGGTGTAACAATGCACCGTGGCACAAAATAATTTATTAATGCAAACACAAGAGGGCACAATAGTCAATCTCAGTTGTTAGATTTTAGGGCACTTTTCCCACTGCACCAGGTACCTACTTTTGGTACTTTCTGTTTTCCACTGACTCCCCGTCAAGTACCAGGAACAAAAGTTCTAGTACCCAAAGCAGCGGGGGTACGTTTTTTGGTACTTTGGGGTGGAACCTGCAAACCTTGAACTGATTTTTTAAACATATACTAGATACCCTTGAAAAGGAATGATTATTAAAATTGTACTGCTTGCTAAGTTTTGTTGTCTACCCATTTTTAGAATTCAGCTCAAAATCCCCCGCCTCGTGTTACGATGTCATTCGGAGGCAGTACCAGTTTTTACGCCAGTGGAAAACCAACACCTTGGAGCACCGCACTTGATACTTTTTCAAAGTACGGTACCAGGTGCAGTGGAAAAGCGCCCTTATTTTTACATTTTGCACTGGAGTCTGCAGAATAAGGAAGAAGCTGTTTGGAAACAGCTCTTTTTATTACTGTACATATCTAAAAAGTAATAAATAAGATTCGTTAGATCTTCATTTGTTTTCAGTCTCATTTCTTTGAATATATTGTGAGTGTACTGAACCGTGAGCACAGAATCATCTATCAAACCGAATCGTGAGTAGACCGTATCGTTACATCCCTAACACGCATTGCCTCACATGTACTGACACGCACTCACAGATGCATATGTAAATGAGACTCCAGACTCACAATCAGACCGACTCACATACACACAACACATGCTTTTCCCAGAAACTCCAGGAGCTTCCAAACACGGCAGGCTTGGAATTCCCACAGCCGAGCCGACCTTCCCTGCGACACTGCACTTCCCATTACATCGACAACGCCAAATGACTTACAAAGCTAGGGGTCTTAGCCATCTCAGTTAAATTATTACAGCCTCGACGACAGAAAAACAGCTTCCTGTACACACGGTCAAACATGTGACTTAAAACAAGCTGTCCGCAAACGATCACATTAATGACTGAAACAAAATTTCATCAGTAGTTCCCCAAAAAATCCTGGCCTCATCTTAGGAACACATGACCCGTCAGACAGCTGCTTGTGCGCGACCGGCACAGACGCTCACCCCAGGCTTGCAGCGCAGGACTCGGCCCTCCTTCTCCCCCGCTGCCAGCCGCTCGTCCAGAAGACGCTCGAAGCTCTTCTGGTCCTCGGAGCTGGGGTCCCGGGAGTAGTCCCTTCCCTCATAGACGTACATGTGGTCTGGAACTGACAGTCCTCAAAATTTACATTATAACTCTGATAATACTACAAACTAAAATACAAAACACACCCCTAAGAGTGGGGAGATTAACTTAGTTCAGGGGTGTCAAACTCCAGTCCTGGGGGGCCGGAGCCCTACGCATTTTTGGGTTTCCCCTCATTTAACACACCTGATTCAACTCCTTGCACGTCTTTGTGCTAATTACTACACAGCTCTTCAGCTGAATCATTTGTGGTGGAAAAGGGAAAGAACTAAGCTTCACAGGGCTCCGGCCCCCCAGGACTGGAGATGGACACCCCTGACTTAGTTACTTTTCTGGATTATGGTTGCTGGTGTGAATGTTTCCAGTGTCCTTCGACACTCCTGTACTTGGCTAATCTCACCTTGATTTTCAGAGGCAGATCCCTCTTCTTCCTCGAGTGTGTGCATGGGCTCCTCATCATCGACCCACTGCCCGTCCTCAGTCCGTCCCAGGATGAGTCCCAGGTCCACATTTTGCACTGAGCTCTCCTCTGATGCCAGCAGCTTGTCCACCCCAAATTTGAGGATCTCGCTTAACTGGGACAGACCGTAGGCCTTTAGTGGGGTGAGAAGGAGGGCAAAAAAAGAGGGAACCAAAGGTTCTGGGCAGGGGCCAGTATTCCCACCTGGAGGCCGGCATCCGCAGACTGGGCCGGGCTAAGAAGGGAGAAACGGCCCTCCTCAATGACCGTGTCAGTGAGGCGCAGCTTGGACACCGCTCTCGTGTACACGATCTCCTCCACCGTATTTCTGGCCAGCAGCCGGATCACTTTCACAGGCCTGCGAAGTGATACGAGAAGGCGGGGAACAGCATGGGGTATGATGATAGGCAGTGCACACACACACACACACACACACACACACACACACACACACACACACACACAGCTGTGATCTTGGAAACTTGGGGAAGTTGATGCCAACGCACACTCAGACTTTTAAAGGAGCTGCACTTGTGGTTGCACTTTGGACCTTAACAGATAATCAAAGAAACACGAAGGTTTGACTATGAATGTTGTCAAGAGATGGCCACACCAAAATGCCAGAAAGATCACTGCGGGTGGACTTCAAAATTTCACTTTATCCCTGAATTCAAATTCAAGAAATCAAAACCGTTTCTAAGCAACAGAAATTCAATGGGCCTTACGAATGCTACGCAAACATGCAGATGAATTAATCAGGACCCAAAGGCCAGAGGAGGTGTTTCGACAGCTGAGCAGAAGCTGACATTACAGAACAGAATTTTGCATATTCTATCCATCACAGAAAAGGGATTTACAAGCTTCCGGACATTAGCAACGGAAAGCCTTCCCGGACTGGGAAGCGGTGGGTTACCTCCCCACACAGCCCTGATGCGGAGACGGGTCATGGAGTCATTTACCTCGTCTGGCCGATCCTGTGGGCACGAGCGGCAGCCTGCAGGTCGTTCTGTGGGTTGAAGTCGCTGTCCATGAAGATCACGGTGTCAGCGGCCGTCAGGTTCATACCAACACCCCCTTAAAGGCAGGGTAAATCACAGCCAATCACAGAAAGGGCATCACAGTGAACCACACCCATTTTAGCATAGTGAGACTGGCTTTTTCTGTTCTTAAGCTGGGAGCTCATCACTGGCCTGTTTGGTCCAGTTCCTCACATGGGAACGGGGATAAATGAGGATGGCTGACGCTGGCTCACCTGCTTTCGTGCTGAGCAGGAAGACGAAAACATCCTTGTTGCTGAAATTCTTGATAGCTAGGTTCCTCTCCTCCCCACGGATAGACCCATCTAGGCGCTCATAGCTATAATCTGGGGGGCGGGGTAATTAAAATAACTAAATTAAACAAACATTCAGCAACCAAGTGCTCAAAGAACCACAAACTAATACTTACATTAAAGTCTCTACATCAGGAAAGAAGCCATAGTAAGATGATAACCCTAAGAAACAGATTAGACTGATCCAATGACATTGTGCTGCACGGTAATTAAATGGAGGGAGAGGAACTCCAAGTACCTCTGTACTCCATATAATCCTGCAGTATGTCCAGCAGCCTGGTAAACTGAGAGAACAGCAACACACGGTGGCCCCTGAAACACACACCAGACTGTTCATGAGAACAGCCACCCACATTCGTCCACAAACCTCAACACTGTGCCATATTTGCACCGCTAACATCGCCCACGTGCCACTCCCTTCATGGTAGATGACAAACACGCAAATGCAGCGCTGTCGTTCAAACAGTAGAGGGCACCAGCTTGCGCATGGACTGACCCTTGGTGCAGGAACTCCAGCATTCTGTCCAGGAGGTGAAGCTTCCCGCTGGCCTCTACCAAATGTTCCCCCATTTCAAACGGTTCAGGCTCCACACCTGAAGACAAACATGGCAGTCAGCAGCATCAGCCTCTAGGGTACAACATCCCACTCAAAATGCCCAGTGTCAGTAGGGTGAGGGTCAGGTGGATCTTACCGTCAAACAGGTAAGGGTGACTGACACACTTTCGCAGATGCATCAGTATGTTCTGTAACCTAGTCTTGTTGCCCTGCTCATCCTCGAATGCATCTGTGGAGAAAGATGCCACCTGTTGCATTATGGGTAAGATTGAAGTGAGTCTCCTACAAACCGTGGGTGAATCTCAATATCAAAAACACAAAGACTGTTCTTGGGTCTTGGCCAAGACCGGTTTTGCAGACATGCCTTCCAAGAACGAACTTCAGGCGCAATGAATCATGAGATTGGTCTCGGTTGCTGAGGACGAAAATCCGACATATTCTTGATATTGGGGACAGAACAAGACCAACATCTGTGGATGTTAATCAGCATCTGTACTTGCATTCTTAGTATTGGAATTGGATCTTTGGCAATGGAAGATGACATAAAACGGGTTCGGGAGACACAAGTACGTTCAAGTACACATACTGACTGCCATTGAAACCAATATTCCCAAAACATGCATATTGTACAATGTAAGCCGTGTTTGAGTGTCATACAACCCTAGCAGTAAGGAACTTCACACATGAATAAAAGAGCAGACAGGCTATTGCATGGCTCCTTAAAAAATACAGAACCTCATGCAGCTTCAGACAGCCTCACCCAGGTCCCTCGTGAGGATGGCTCTGTAGTATCTCTTCTGCAGGGCAGACATGCCGTGATAGACCACCAACTCTGTCTTCTTGGGAAGTTCGGTGGCTACCTCCGCCTTGACTCTGCGGAGGAGGAAGGGCTGGAGGATGCGGTGTAGCTCGCTGGCTGGGGGCGGTAGGGTGACATACATAAAATGCAGTCACTCTCTTAAATACAGACTAGGAATTCCTAAAGACAGCGGGAATGGTTTTGTACGAAGTTAAGCAAATGCCAGTTGGCTAACGTGAGAATGTGGTGAATTGTGACTGGTACTAGCTAATTACAGCTTAAATCTATATGAAAATTCCTTGTGTTAGATGTGATGCCAAAAGGGATTGCAATACGTACAATGCATCGCAGACAGTGCCAGGAACGCAAGGCTTCGAAGGCCAACAGCCATACCTAGTTTGGGATCAGCCTCCACCCGTGCATAGGAGCTGATAAAGTCATCGGTGTTACTCTCGGGAAAAATGCTGGGCTGAATAAAGCTGAGCAGGGAGTAGACCTCCGCAAGATTATTCTGGATGGGTGTCCCTGTCAGGAGCGCCTTGAATCCAATGGAGAACTGCAGAAGGGAGGATTAAAAAACAGATGCCCCCCTTCACAATCAGCGCTGCATACTGAGCCAAGTCGAAATGGACACACACAGGGTGGAAAATCACCTGTGTCAGAGTTCGGTGCAGCAGGGAATTCTGGTTCTTCAGCCTGTGAGCCTCATCCACCACCAGGACTTTCCATTGCCACCTACCAGGCCAAGGGCAGCCTTAAGTCAAAGTTCACGAGGTGCACTTTTCAGACGGTCCCATCGCCTTCCTGTCTCGAGACTTCCATGTCACGTGGACGCGCCACATGACTTTGTCACCACATCCCTTCTGATTGTCCACGAACTTTCACTGTCTGTTTGCTGGGAAACTCCTCACTACACTTCCGGGTCACAGAGTAATAGCAGACTTACCTTTCCAAGAATGATGAATCTTTCAAGCACAGCTGTAAACATACAAAAAGAAAATATGTAACAAGCTAAAGTGTATTTAGCTCATTTACAGGAACCTGTAGTAAATAACTTCAGAACAAACTAGCAGCCTACAGTCTTCAGGCAGTCAGAGAGGCATTTTCCCCATACAGGAATGGCCCAGGTGTATCTCAGAGAGGAGCATGTTCAGCGTCCACATGACCTGGACCCTGACCTCATATGAGGTGAGCAGCACATGGAAGCTTCTGCCTTGGATCAGCTCCCTCCTCAGCTCTGCCCTGGCCTCCTTGTCCCCAGTGTAGGACACCACCACCAAACCAGGAGAAAACCTGAGCAGACACACACACAGAAACTTTCAACAGCAGAAAAACGGCATGACTATTTTTACAGTAAAATGTTACAGTTCAAGACATCAGGCCTTTATCTGCTTTACTACCTTCCAGTGTAAACACATATTCTTAAAGATGAATTAGCATCACTCTTCGCTTCAGCTAAACCTTTCTATTCATACAGAGGCCTAATGCATGGTCTTGTCTAGGTAATCTGGGTAACACAGGAGAGGCAGGCCCTATCCACTGCTGGAAACTGGGGTCTTACTCCTGCTGAAAGGGATACATACAAAGTATGCCCTTTAGTGCACGAGGCACTCAGGGGTCTTGTACAGAGAGTGTCTTTTACCGTTTTGATTATCGTGGTGTATCACACTCGCCACCTAGTGGAATCAACCGAGTTTACATTATATTTATTAAGCAGATTTTATTCAAACCCAAATACATTTGGAGAAAGAAGCCGGTCGCTGTAGCAACTGTGGATTAGGGGCCTTGCTCAGAGGCCCAACGGGGACATTGCACTGCCCACCAAGGGATTTGAACCAGTGACCTTCCAATCACAGGCACAGCATTCTAACTTGCTGAGCCACACACCACAGCTACAACGGCATTATGTGTACTACACAAGAAACACAACATTGTTCCTCCTATAAATGAAAAAACAGCACAATGATGAGACAGAATGGTTTAACAGGGATGAAACATAACCCAACAAACAGCTTCTAAATGGGAATAAGTGTTCCCCACCCAGTCTCACTCTGTGACCCTCTGTGAGGGTCATGCTTTGCTCACCGCTCCATCTCCTCCCTCCAGTTCTCCATGACGGAGAGAGGACTCAACACAAGAAAGGGTCCCTTGTGCCCCAGGCTCCCTTTCATGTACAGCAACAGGGCAATAGTCTGAGGAAATGGTAAAATAATCTTATATAACAACAAAAAGAACTATGCAATGGTTCCTTATCCCTATCGTGACTGGACATAATAGCTAAAACAAAAAAACGTGATCGACTCGTGCAATTTGACATCAGTTCACAAAAATACAAGCGAGGTGGGGCTGATGGCTGGGCTGGATCCGGACAGCTACACACCTGACAGGTCTTGCCGAGGCCCATCTCATCGCCGAGGATGCAGCCGCTCTGGCTACTCAGGCACTGCGTGAGCCACCGTACCCCGTCCAGCTGGTAGGCTCTCAGGTGGATCCCTAAAGGAGCACGCTTTGGGCACTCATTCACAGCACGCCTTTCCCATCCAGTATACTGGGGTCCTTAATTTACGCGACAGTCGCGTTCTGGAAGCGCGTGCGCACGTCTTAAAATATTCCCAAAGTTATCGCTTAAATATACATTTACAATTATGAATGATATCATGTAGTGTTGGTAGCAGCACAGCAGAGTCGAGTTAAGTGAGCAAATTCAAACAGTAACCATTATTTTATTATATATTATAACATTATTCTGGGTAAATGTATAACGTAGCCATGCGTTTAACTGATTATATTAACTTATACGTCTACTGTTCAAACAGAGCATAGAACTAGTTAGTGGCGGCAAGTGTGGGGCGGGGGGGCGCTTACCCATAACCCACAGCTGTGTTGTTAGAAAAAACAGCAAGTTATGGGCGGCTTTCTATTACAGACTACGAACCTGTCAATCCCCATTTCTTCAGATGGTTCTCGGCTAGGTCTGAGACCTTTTTCTCAGGTATGTTCCTCTGAATATCTTGAAGAAAATTCGGCATATTTAATCGGCCGTTTCAGGGATACGCAATTTACAGCGCCCCAATCCTATCGCGAGCTCGCAGCTTCCGCGCGGAAGATTCCGCCCACCGCCGATCGGATAAGCTCGGCGAGGATCGGACAAAATCGGCTCAGATCGCAAGTCAGAGTCCAGGCTGTGTCATGTCCGGGTAAGGGGGGGGGCAGTACCGGTTGAAGTTAAGTGGAGTACGATTCACCGTCTTGATTGAGGTGCGATTCCCAAAAGCATAATTGCTAGCTACGTTAGAAACCATACAACTGAATTGGCCGAACTATGTAAATTACTAACGGAAACTTTTGGGAAACGCACTCCTCAGTAGGAGTATTTGGAGTGACAAGGGTTAATTACATCGATAATTTTACACATTGGATCTTTGCTTTTAGAAGATTTAAGATACGCATACAGAAATATATGTATAAGTAAATTATGAGTTATTATATTAGAGATAAATTGCACCATATTTCAACAATTTCTTGAGTCTGTAGAGTGTTTAAAATACTGCGGTTCCGACTTAGGCCGCCTATTTTAGTTGCAGTTCCCTTACGTAGACCGTATTTCGTTCTGGTGACAAGTACGAAAAGCTTTGGTTCTGTTACTATTTCACTCATATTTTCATTCATATGTTCAAAGGAGTGTAGACAGAGCTTATTTCTCCGAGAAGAGGCCCTCGTAAACACCTCCCACTACCAATCCACCAGTGGCGGTTCTTTAAGACAAGAGAACACCAGCGCTTCACCAATAGAAAAGAAAACACGTGACATTCATGTCACATAAAATATAACTTTGATGCCAATGAATAACAACAATTTCCACGCGAAACCAAACAGTGCGGCTGTTCAAAAAAATGTTTTCGAAGTATTGTGCAAAACAGCACCACCTTTAGGTTGATAAAAGGAACTTCTGAGAAGCGAAACATTTTCTTCCTCATTAAGCCTATAGACTTCAATTTATTTCTCCTCACCTTCTATGTAGCAGGCCTAGTTGATTAGATAGTTATGGAATATATCCCACCCAGTGAAGCATGCTTCACTTACACCCAATCCCAATGTCCCTCCTAAGGCCTAAGCCCTCAACCCTCACAGACTTAAGTGACATCATTGTAGCTACTAACTGCTTGAAATTGTATAAATAGGAATGGGACAGCAGGTTGTGACATACCATTATGGGTTTGGTTCTTTTTATTTTAAGGTTTGCACTTGCTTCATGGCCAAGGCACTTAAGGGACCTAAATTGAACATGTTCCAGGCTCTTGCATTACTAAGTGGACGACAGGTAATAGTGAAATAATCAGTTTACAAAATTTTTGCCAAAACAGCAAAATCAAGCAAATCAAGAAATGGGTTTGTTTACCATTGATTTGTCCGGGGTTCCCCTGGTAACCCAGTGTTTCACGTCATGTTGCTATGAATTGTGGGTAATTCCCTCAGGCAGAACGTGTGCATAAAGAGCTCAGAATGTCTGCAAGAGATCACTTCTGCACTTGGCCATTTGGCAATGAGACAGCCCTAAGATCTCGAGGGATTAGTGGGCACGCGGCTCAAAGTCTGTGAGTCCATGAGTGTGGACATTGAAGCCCAATTACAGTGTCAGTCCAGAGTTTGCATCACTAAATATTTTGGTCAGCAGCTGCCACTGGATTGCAGAAACAAGCACTGCACATCTATCCATCCATCCATTCATTCTCTATACCCGTTTTAACTGAGGCTGGCTTACTACTCCATATTATAGTAAGTTCATCGTTGCCTGTGAGATGGTCCATGACAAATGTCACTGCAAGCAAGACAAATTCCTTAGGCGTGAAATTAAATGGTCATTGATACTCATGAATTCATTCATTCATGTTCCGTGTCACTGTTTATGTTCATTGTCTACCCACAAAATCTCTGATTAGATCTAATAGGCTAAATAAAGATACGCCTACTTTGACTCGAGATCAAATGAGCCCTTGTGTGGGAAGTTGGTGATGAGTACATTTGTGCTTGACTTTCCCAGAGAGGTGCTCCCTCGGGGGAATATGCAGGGATGTGTAGCATTAATCTGATACTCAAAGCACTGGGCTGAGTGCAAAGCCGTGTGCATATGTGGACGGAAAGCTTCCGCAGTCTGACAACTTCATACCCACCGGGCTGACAGTTATTATTTCATTATGCACATGTGAAAACATCGAAGTGGCTCTTCTTGTGCCCGTGATTAAAATAACATTTTCAAGAGGGTAAAAATATTATGGAGTTATAATTGGCTATCTCTTTATGCGTTGTTTAATGGCAAAAATAAAAGGCCCAATTTGGATAAGTGAAGCAGAGTGGGGAGGCAGGTCTGCGTGGCGTGCTTGGCAGGTCTGCAGCACGCTGCTTTATTCCCAGGCGAAGCTTCTGAATTCAACCATGACAGTGAATTTCAATGTGATGAACTTTTGTTTTACTTCCAAGTTCAGCCTCTCTGTCCACTGATCAAGCTCTGGTAGCCAGTTGGAAATTCAGAATTAGCACGACCATTTCAGAGAATCTGGATCTATTTACTGAGCCCAAAAGGTGAAAAGTGGCAGAAATATTAATATTTTTCTCTCAGTGCATCTTGAATGCATTCCAGAATATAGTCATGCACACTGACTGATAGTAACCTCATGGTTAAAAATGAGAAGAGGGAAATCCGAAAATTTAATGGGATGTTAGACTTCGTGTCGCGATACACATGAACGTAGCAATTAACACACACTGAAGTCGTTTAGCTGCACGTGTTTATTTTATTAGACAACACAATTTCATGCAGATTTCCACAGCAAATACATTATTTACACAGAAAGTTAACCCTTTTCCAGTATTTTAGCTTCAAAAAAGAAACTTACGCCAGGAATTTTACAGTTATCAACACATTAGGATTTATAGGTGACCTTGACAAGTAGCTATGTACATTAAGCTGTTTACGCTGAAGTAACTCTGCGGAGTTTTTATAACGCTTCACAAACTTAGAGTCACGTGACTAAGGCACATCACACAAAGTTACAAGCTGACAATTTGATTGTCCATAACCACAGAAGGGAGTTCGGGACAGTGAATTGATAGCAATTTCAAGAGAACAAAGAAAATAGACATTTAGGCCGAGAGCAACATTTATAACTCACTTTGCCACTGATAGCATGAATAGCAAAAAAGTGACCAGTGTTTTGTCCTCAGCTTGGCAGAATAATACGCGTTCATAAAAATCAAAACACATTCATCCATTTATGCCAAGTTACTAGGTAGAGGGAGTCTAAGGTCCACGGGAGGCCAGTCCCTGAGATGTCTACTGATGTCCTTCAAAAGGAATGGGCGGAGACTGCGGCCCACCCGGCCCCACCCAGCCGAATGTGACCGTGCTGCTCCACCACCGTTTCTGTGCCTACTTGGGTGTGACCCTGCAGCACAGAGCCAGGTGAGGAGGAGGCGGGACTCCGGTCCGCATGCAGCCCCTGGCCTTGGGAGCAGCTTACACTGCCTCCTGCTGGCCCAGGGTTGACATTGCAGCTGCTCACTGTCCACAGGCACGGATACTGGCTGGAGCAGAAAGCATATGATAAGACGTACTTTGAAACATTTGAACAAGGTGTGCAAAAGGAGGATGGCGGGGGTGCAGGGATTACCCCACAATAAAATTTATGCTTGGGTGGGGGGGGGGTCCCATGTTCCAGATTATATTGTGTTTAGGTCCAGAGCCAATTGAGTAACCCTGATATAGCCGTCAGACTTACCTTCACATACATGACAATCACTCAAAATAATATAGGGGGAGGTGCAGTGGTTAGCACTGTTGCCTCACACCTCTGGGACCAGGGTTCGAGTCTCTGCCATGGCTCCATAGCTGTGCCCAAATTCAGGGGCTGTATTCAAAGACCACATGCATCACAGTCACACAAGGCTGTTCCATTTCAAAGGCTCCTGCAAATGTGGTCTGGGAATGTATGAGCATACCAGCCTAATATATCCCAAAATGCATTGCACACACCTTCAATGGAAACAGCCTGCAGTTACATAGACTGCCGTCCTTTGAAGGATGCAGCCCCTGAATTTGGACACAGCCCTTGTGTGGGTGTCCCTGCACGTTCTCCCCTTTTCATCCATCGTTTCCTCCAGCTACTCAGGACCCCCCCCTACAGGTTAATTGGGGTTACTAAATGACTGGTGTGAGAGTGTTGCTCTGTAACGGGTCGGCGCCCCATCCTCGGCTGTTCCCTGCCCTGCGCCTGTAGCTTCCAGACCCCCCCCTGACATTGAATAGGACAAGATTTACAGAGAATGTGTGGATGGTGGTATGTTTTCAAAGGGGGCAGTTTCCCCACTGTTCCTCACAGGATGGACGGCATCCACATGCCGGCCGAGCCCTGGAGGTCCATGCGGCAGATCAGATCTCTCACAGGGTCCCACTGACCTGCTACTTCCGGGTGTGGAGGACGTGGCAGAGACCGGCAGCATGCTGTGGTGGGCTGACGGAGACAGGGGGGTCCAGTTGTCATGTCCGGGAAACACCTGCAGGCCTCCGGGACTGGCCTCGGACAGGGACACTGAGTGACAGAGAGAGGGGAGGACAGACCATGCCGAGGAAACGTTCCCGTGACTTCCCAGCGCACCCCCGCCTGTCTGCCCACCTGAGCTGTGGTTTCGATGGTGAATGTAGGAGGATGGGTAAGGGGCAGGGCGGTGCCCCCGCAGGGGGGGGTAGCGCTCATACCCATGGGGTGCGGCGAGTGGCAGAGCTCCGCCGTAGGGGTAGTTAGCACTGCCAGGGGAGCAGAGGCTGTCGCCGTTGGAAATCAGCCAGCCACCTACTGGAAACAGGGCCAGAGCTTCAGACAGCCACTGGCTAATTAACGGCAATTAACTCTGTCATTCATTCATTCACTTCCCTTGCAGGCACTGATAACCCATTCGTTATTAGCCAGATACTTCACTGGCATGCTCGCTGATGCACCCAATCGAAGACATATAATTACACAGCCATTGAATATATATAATCTATATAATAAAAAAGAGGAACCAAATCCATTTCAATCTTTTATGTCATATGACTGCATTATTTCATCCAAACATTTTTTCTTCACAAATCCGGAGCACCTACTACCCAGTAGCACTAACCATCTCACGCACACGCACACACACACACACACACACACACACACACACACAAAGAGCGGAGACTCACGGTGAGACAGTCCAACATGCTGGCTCTCCGCTGGAACTTCTGCCAGGTTTTTGGGGTGGTTCCTGCAGAGAAGATGAAGAGACTCATGTTTCCCGCTCAAACTACGAAGTCATTGCCACAAACAGAAACATTCCGGCCGTCACCCCGAACTTCAAATTGATTCTGATCATACATGAATCACTAAATCAACCTTTGAGTATCCAGGCATCCAGTGGGTGATATTTTTGTGACTAAGCCAGCATGTGATTTTCCCCCACCCCTATTCAACTTAAATTTACATACCAGGCTGTTTGTACCAGAGTGGTTCACCCTCTTTGTAGGTGCTGCGGCAGCCCCGCCAGCGGGACTTGAACTAACACCCATGAAGTTGCAATGCATATCCTTACCTACTGCACCATCTGCCCTCCCCCCACCAGGTAATGATATCAATGCAGGCCAGCGCTGGAGAGGGAAGGGACCCGTGCGAGTGGGGCGGCACACCGCTTGCTCGCTCCCCCGTGGTGGCTACACTTTCCAACAAGCTGCCTAACAGCTTCGCCACTTCCAGGCACTCGACACGCACTCACGCCCATCACGCCGCTACCGTCCAGCGAGCCACTCCAGTCCCCCCCCCCCCCTTGCCCACATGGAGCTTACCGAGCTGCGCAACAAATCCTGAAGAGCTGGATAGCACTTGGGCCGTCGCGGGATTTAGAACGCTAACGTGATATGGAATGATTAAAAAAAAATGAACACGACTTGCCCTCAAGTCCTGTTAACTAATTCTTCAAATTTTCTAAAGTGGTTGCTATGAGCGGCCAGTTGCGGTGGGTTTTCCACGGTGTCCGCTCCCATTGGCCACCGAAAGCCGACTAACCGGTCCCATTGGCCACCGAAAGCCGACTCACCACTCCCACTGGGGACCAAAAGCCAACTCTCCGCTTCCATTGGCCACCGAAAGCCGACTCACCAGTCCCATTGGCCACCAAAAGCCGACTCACCGCTCCCATTGGCCACCGAAAGCCGACTCACCGCTCCCATTGGCCACCGAAAGCCGACTCACCACTCCCACTGGGGACCAAAAGCCAACTCACCGCTTCCATTGACCACCGAAAGCCGACTCACCGCTCCCATTGGCCACCGAAAGCCGACTCACCGCTCCCATTGACCACCGAAAGCCGACTCACCGCTCCCATTGGCCACCGAAAGCCGACTCACCGCTCCCATTGGCTACCGAAAGCCGACTCACCGCTCCTTGGCATCCAAGAACGCCTTGGCGAATGGATTGTACTTAATCTTCAAGGCAGTGATCTTGAAGGATGGATAAAGGGAAACGTTAAGGCTTGGCACCTGGGCACAATGCAGTGGGGGGCAGGGGAGCTAGAAAACAGCAACGCTGACCTCCTCGTTCTGGTAGGCGGTGACAGCGATGAACTGCGTGTCTGCGAAGGAGATGTTGGTGACCATTCGGTGGTTGCCTCCGACTCGGACAATGTGGATCTGGGGCTCATACTTATGCAAGGAGTTGAGCATGATCTGTGAAAGAAGATTCAGGGGGTATCAGTCTGTCTGTATTCTGTGCTGTTCCAGAGTTGTGATTTAGAGACCTGTAAGCCACCTAATTTTTTATTGATGAAGAGTAGAAGAACTACCCAGCCTAAATAAGTTGTAGAGAAATAGATTGTGGAATCGGGAACTGATGCTGAGAAACTCAGAAAAAGCAGAACTTCTGGTAAATCTAACAAAGTCTGATGCACGCTGGTCACATGGCTTGAGTTTTCATAAAATCCATGGTTGGCCCAGGTGTGACGCCAAGCGGCCGCCAGCAGCGCTTCATCTCACCAGCGGGGGAGCCAGCGAGACAGGGAATGCAATACCACAATCCCCCAATTTAACAATTATCAGACCCCTGAAAAAAACAAACAGTTTTTCATTGTGATTGAGGCCTTTACTTCACCTTTCACATACAAATGACTAAAAAGAACCAGATACCCATCAGGGTGGATGTTTATTAGATTTTGTGGTCTTTGTTTATGTGTGTGTGTGTGTTTCGCTTTTTCCCTGAACATCTAAGGACTGGGGCTAAATTGACTCCACACTGAAAATAAAACAAGTAATTACCATAATGTACTACTAACCACTGCAATTATTTCATTTAGGACTGGTTCTCACTCAAAGTCCTGTGTGTTGCCAACACTGCATTTAATGTCAAAGAAAAGCAATGGGGGCGGGGGAGGCAGTGGGGGGGGGGGGCGCACTGTGGTACATGTAAATACCAACAATAATTTTGCTCTGAAGTCATACTTGAATAGAGCACACAGACCTCTGTAATGTGCCCTCTGAAAGCCGGGATGACTATATGAAGTACAGCTCTCTCTTTTTTAACAGCAGGAAGTCCATTAAATCCCAAAAGTGGTAATTAAGAGCTGTTTATTCCTGTTTACATGCGGGCCCTGGGGAACAAAGGGTCTCTATAGGTGAAGTGGCCTGAGAGGATCCCACTAATTGTATAAATGCACACTTGATATTTCCACAGGGCGAAGCCTGCGATTAGAGGCAGCCAGAGTCCCCTAAAAGCCGCAGTGCTCCATCTCCCTAAGAGCACCGATCTTTGGAGAAGTATCAAAGGTGGGCCAAACATACTTCAAAGTAGTTTTCATATGTTAATGTACCCACTGAACAATCTGGCCAAAAAAAAAAAAAGACAACAGAAGGAATGTAAAGTTACAGGCTCAAGTTACATCCTACACGCCGGCTGCCTGACATCCCTTAAACACGTGGGCCTCCTCTTACATACAGCCAGCATGTGAATTATTCTGGAGGCTAAAAAAATCAATCTGGCTAGTCTAAGAAGGACCGTGGTAAGGAGCTTCTCCTGACGTTACGGAATCTGATCTGATGAGCTTGTTTGTGACATGAAAATGCATGTGTCTTGCATTTGGAAGCATAAATGTCTGAGTATTTCTGTGTATGCATTTCTGCGTCCCTGATTGTGAGGAGCTACAAGAAGAAGAAAAAGCATATTTTTATATATCAGTTTTCATTTTTTGGTTTTCGGATCATTTCACTGAGAATGCGTGTGCGTGAGGCATATCTGGTAGATGCGTGTGCGTGAGGCATAGCTGGTGTGTATCATGCGTGTGTGCATGAGGCATAGCTGGTGGGTGCATGAGGCATAGCTGGTGTGTATCATGCGTGTGCGTGAGGCATTGCTGGTGTGTATCATGCGTGTGCGTGAGGCATAGCTGGTGTGTATCGTGCGTGTGCATTACGCATTGCTGGTGTGTATTATGCGTGTGCGTGAGGCATAGCTGGTAAGTGCGTGTGCATGAGGCATAGCTGGTGAGTGCGTGTGCAGGAGGCATAGCTGGTAGGTGCGTGTGCGTGAGTTATAGCTGGTAGGTGCGTGAGGCATTGCTGGTGTGTATCATGCGTGTGCGTGAGGCATTGCTGGTGTGTATCGTGCGTGTGCATTACGCATTGCTGGTGTGTATTATGCGTGTGCGTGAGGCATAGCTGGTATGTATCACCTGTCCTCCTCCATTCAGCTTGTTGGTCAGCTTGACCTTGCTGAAGGAGACAGGCGCTTTCATCCAGTGAGCCCCAAAGTTGGGCGAGTCGGGGTGGATGTAAACGCAGCTGTGACTGTGTGGCTCCGGCTTGCCCGCAGGGACCCACTCGCCGTTCACATACTTCCAGCGGTGGGTGTCGGCGGGGGCGAAATCGAGCAGGATGGAGTACATAGCATTGGGGTCCAGGCCGGACACGCTGACCTTCAGGACCGGGAACATCCTCCTGGGGACAGTGCAGAGCGCCGGCGTTAGAACACACTGCCAGTGCGGGCTCCACTTACACACCCCCAACGCAAATCACTTCCAGCTTTGTCTATTTGGACACTTTTGTATTTTTATAGGACATGGAAAAAAACATACAAAACAAGTTTGAAGTGGATCTGTTTAAACAAATGGACACCTTCCCACCCACAGTGTGCGATGACCAGGAGATGAGTGACGGTCAAACCCGCCGGGTAATCACTAAAATCAGATTCATTAGACACATACCCCATCAAACCACAGACAAACACCCCGCTCTAGTATAGATCAACAGACAAATAACATATCTTTGGCCATTTACACATTTAAATGGTATTTAACATTATTTAGATTTTTCGTCATCTATCGCTGAAACGTTTTGAGTGATTTAAACAAAAAAAAAACAAACATGCCGTAGTTATTTTAAGCAGTATTATTTTTACATTTAGATGTCATTAAAAAGAATCAGCCCTGTATAAAAATGAATCGCAAAACATGTTCACATGAGGTATGTCCGGATTTTCGTAAATACAAAAACGTTTAAGACAGTTGAGTTTCAACTAGTTTATGTCATTTTATTATTTTTTTTTTAAAACAAAACCTATTTTCAGCCACGGGTATAATAAACTCAAAAATGCATTATTCCCTACAGTCCAAATGGAAATCTTTACATTCACGCTTTGTCTAAATTGTATTCATTATATAAATACACAAATGTGCAGACGTAACATCTTCATATTAAATGACATACATTCATTAAGTGAACAAAAGCGCGCGTCCTTATTCTAAAAGTCCAAAGTTTTCGATAACTGGTATTATTCATTATATGGTATCAAAAGTTAATGTTGGATGATTAATTGAATAGTTTTACCCACAAACACAAAAATGATTGAGGACCCAAACGGTATGCGCCATTGGTTTTGGTTATAAGTTTCACGAAAGTACAGCGCATATCCTACCCTTAAGTAGACTTAACTGGAACGGATAATTCATTTTACTTTGTTATGTTGTTCATTTATGTATATTAATGCGAATGGCGTTTCATATAAAGACATAAAACATTTATATGCATTTACAGCAATTTCGTATTCAAGAAAATCAACGGTCATATTGCATGTGCAAACCCACCTGCCGTTCTTAGTGACAATCATTTCATTAGTGGCATCCATGAATTTCTTCCAAAGTTCAGCCTCTTCCAGGCTGACCTTAAGCTGCTTCTCCGTGGGGTCCCCTTTCTCCCGGCCGGCCTGCAGCTCGCTCTCCACCACACTGAGGAGTCGGCTGATGCAGCATTCGCTGGTGCCGCTACCACGGCCGCCGCTCGCCGCGTCGCCCATATTACTCTCCACCTTCATTGAATTATTGAACTTCTAAAGAAACGGAGTGGGCACTTTGCGGGAAAGCACGCATGAAAATAAAGGTACAAAACGAGGAGAGCAAAACTCTCAGTTCTCGTGTTAACCGATTAACTGTCCACTATCTATTAGCACCGAATTGGTAGGATTTGGCGTTTTAATATTTAAATGATTTAAGCGCACATTAGGATGTTTCCCGAATATTTCCCAGTCAATGTCTTGATGCAATGAAAACCAAAAGCCACTTTAGGATAATACCATCTACCTCTAGAGGGATCAGTCACATGATCGACAGCTGATTGACGGCAATTTTTTCCACAAAACTTGCCCACTGAACAATTTGCGTGCTTAACACGTCTTCCGTTCCTCTCGTCGCTATTCTTTATAAAAACGAAAGTAGTAGGCTGCTGTAAAGACAATTTTATATCAGTCTCCGCTTCTCAATTTGTGTGAGCACTAATAATACCTTGAAATGTACCAAGCCTATAACAACCATTTGATATATTAAAGTTTGTCCATCCATCTCTGCATTTTGGAAGTGAATAGCCAGGGGTTTTAGCGTCATTATATCCCGTCAGTCCTATTGATTCCCACATTTCTTTCTGGGGGGCATTTTTCTTGAACTGAACGCCAGTTTTCCACTTTCTTGCAGTTGTCAGCTGCTCTTTTCCTAATAACTCGTGGTTTGATCAGCTGATTGAATATTTATTATATTAAACAATAACAAACGACAGTAACCGCCATTTGAACTATTTTATTATTTAGAATCCGAATCTGATCCTTTTTCTTTTGAAATTCTAGTTTCTGATGCAGAGCCATTTGCCTACAAAATTTGAGCAAAGTTTCAGCACTTTGGACAGGGGACCAGACTCACTAACCACTTGTCTCTTCTTTTAACATAAAATACAAGAATGGGAAAAATATTCTTCGCCCATAAGAGATTGTTTTTCTTACCCCGCCCACGATGCACCGTTTAATAAGAAATCTCCCTTCTTTTCAGTAATGTCTAGACCGTACGTAACATTTGCGTGAGACTTAAGGATTTTAAAAACACTTAATTGTCAAGCTTATTGAAATAAGCTGAAACTAAGCTAATAAAAACAAGTAAAGTCATGATTAATAAATACAATTCTGTCGAAAATAAAGTGTGTGCGGATTGCGACTTATAAGATGAGAGCAAAGTACGACTCTTAGTCACGTAGGCTATAGGTGTGTAATAAGTGCACATTAAATCCTAAATTCATTAACAAAAAAAATGTGACTAGATATATTATAAATTTATAATAATTTCAAGCAATTTTCTTATGAGACGTTTCAACGGAAGTTTAACAAGTCCAGCCACCAGGACTACCAAAATTATGCCGGGGCACGTATCCGGGTTCCGGAGTCCGATCCTAAAAAAAAAAAAAGCGGACACTAAATAGCCTAAACCTGTTTATCCGGCGAGCACACACCAAAGACCGAACACTCCTGTGTCTCAGTCTGACAGGACCCATTAAAACAGGACATATGATCAGAACCCCCGACTCTCCTATACATTATCCGAAGCACCTGAAGCATAAGCGCGCACTCTGTGCCCCGGTCGGAAACCTGATCTGCGGCTGGTTCATACGCCATCGAGGGCACCGGCGCGGCTACATCTGCCGTGGCAGCCTTTTAATCAGGAGCAACCTGGACGAAGAGATCAGAGGATTAACAGACTTAAAACACATAAAGGTTTCATTAGCGATGGGCGTGTTTGCGTATCAAAAGTTAGCAATTAGAAGCGAAAGCTATTTTTTCCTCTAACGTCATCAAAACCGCTGACCTTTTGCTGGACAGCTCCAGCCTCACACTGATTTCTTAAAACAAACGTTCAAAATACGAATTATAAGTCAAACGGCAGAGAAATAGCATAAGTAATTAACACATTTTAAAAGCACGACGAAGTTAAAATAAAAAACGGTACCCTGCGGAAATAATAGAATTTCATATAACTACTAAAAGGATAAGCCCAAAAAACAGTTACTTAGGTAATAAACACCTTATTGCCGCAAAACAGATAAACAGGGAGCACTGCGACGTGACGTTCTTACCGCCTGTTTCCGAAAAGGACACCGGTAGAATATGTTGTCCGCATATTGGGCAAGATTTTGTCTAAATGAAACTACTACAAAAGTTTTTTGAAAAAGCAAAAACGATAGCCCTACCACGTTCACGCAAGCCATTAATTTGTTTCAAAATCTACATTAATAAAGTACCCCAGACAGGAACACACGGACGTACACGTTACAGAAAACAGACGCGTTCACAAAACACGCTACATAAATGACTTGTATGCTTTGGGGTGCCGCGGTCAGAATTAAATCACTAGGCCCTGTGTACTATTATGGTCTGCTTAATAAAAGCAGAAAAGGAGCGCATGTAATACCGGGCTACTGTGAGCCGGTTACTTTCCAGCGAACCGCGACAAACAGCACAGCTTATGGCATATGTCAGCGACTAATTTTACTCTGAACAGCAAATGCGGCCACGGGGCATTTCATGTAGTACCATATACTGTTATGGATGTTTCGCTTACTATTAAACTGTTTAATATTTTCTGGTTTTAAACCGTATCTTGGAAGGGCGGGGGAGACGCATTCTGTATACCTAAGCGTTTCAATTCCTCTACAAAGCTGTATTATGTTATGTAGCTTCAATGCTGTTATATAGTGTAAGACCAACACATACCGTTTATATTCTGATTACGCAAATAGGCCGATCTAGTAGCCCTGGTCGTAGGCTGTCTCGCTTAATGGCCTCTAAACAAACAAGAAAAAATGTTGAGCATTCCAGAAAAAGAAAAATTAAAAATGATTCGTCAAAACATACATTCAGACGTTGCCAATGCGTAACTCTGGGTAGGCCTATACCACGTAGGCCTACTGTACACACATAGTACCACAGTAACGGACTACGGTATTCATATTATGCACCAGAGGAAAGATTTAAACCTGTGCTTTCATCGCACACTGTTAAAACGACCTTTGCGATTTTTGTCCACTTACATCAAGATGCTAATATTTGTTATACACAAAAGACTCCGGACATTCTCATGAAAAGCACAGATACTGAAGACAACATGTCGGGTCAGCGGAACGGAGTTACTGGTTCCGACGCGACCCACTTTGCCTTCTCGTTGAGATCCAATGGTTTTTCTTAGCAAAGAAGTACATTTCTAATATAGTTAGCGAGTGACATACACAACGTGGAGATTTTTCATGAAGAATTTAATCATTTATACACAGCATAATTAAAATGAGACCAGCAGCAAAGATCATAATCGTCATCACTAAGACGAAACGTTGCAGTTAAACACTTACTCAAAGTTAGAAAGACACTGAATAATTGTATGAAGCCCACAAAATTAATAACGGCGGAGGTAGTCGTAGTCGACTGAAACTCTGTTAAGTAAAATATTTAAGATAATGAACATAAAAGTGTTTCTACTGTCAACTGTCACTATAATCAGTAACAGGTGGTTCGGGGTCTACACTTCTGTGCAAAACTGGTGTCTTTAATGAGTCGCTAAAGGCGACACATAAGACAGTAGCTTAAGTTCTGCGGAGGGCAGGAAGGCAAAACCGGATGCGGGCCCGGACAGTCTCGGTCTAATAAATACAGAATTACTGCCGGATCCGTCCGTCTGAGCCGGAAAGGCACGTGCAAAGTCAGCGGGCAGGCGTCACGTGTCGCGACGGCAAATGGTTTAAGTCTACTATCTTGGCATGTCAGTGGTGATGCTAAATCCGCTATTATCCGAAAATAATGCACATCAATAATTCACAATCAATGCACATCCAGTTACACATAGTATTAAGACTGGAAATTTGTAGTTAAGGAACGTTGAAGCATATTTAAGAAATTATTACGAAACACATTCCGGACTGTGCAAAAAACATAGGTTAGACGCTGGTAAAACTTTAAAAACACAATTCATGGTTTGACAACACCATTCACAAAAACACAAGCAAAATACAATTCAGTTAACTTTGTTCTCAGAAATAATACACATTAGAAATATTAACATGTCAAAGGACTATACATTACTTATGCATATTATTGCAAGGTCAGCAAAAAATAGTGAACATCCTTATTGATCCAACAAGCTGCACTCTACACAACCATATGAACACCAAGTTATCTAACTATGGAGTTGACCAGATCACAGAACCAGAGAGGCATAGAGGATTGATTTGTATAAACTAATCTGTTAACATGTAAAAAAGAAGTCATTCAATAAAGAACCATGATTCCCAGTTTTACAAAACCCTGGTGTGCTGCACTAAAAAACAGCATTTAATAATAATAGGTTTTTGTAAAAAATAACCACTCTTTTAAATGGTCCATGCAGGCATTTGTGTTTTGGAAGGCGTTCAAGTCGGTAAATGCTGAGGGATACTCCAGTAGCTGTTCACTGGGCGGCGGCGGTCAACCGGGATGGAGTGAACAGCTGCGGTGTGGCTTCTGCCAGGAAGCGTGTGGGGCTGAGAGAGGGGGTGGGGCCAGGAGGAAGGGGCTGTGTGCGGGGGCCAGGGTCACCAGGGTGCGGGGCGGGGGGGCAGCCACATAGAGGCTCCTTACTTCACGCACAGGGAGAAGAGTTTGATCATCGCATCTCTGGAAGAAAGAGCGCACACACACAAACACACCACATGTGAACCTAAATACAAAAATCTGACAATGACAGGCAATTATCCTCCAAAAATGCCTCTTCACTCACGGCATTTGAAATGTCTGAATAATAAGACCCATGTTAAAAAAAATAGAAAAACACTCACCTACCTGCAGGCCAGTCTACAAACCACAGACTAGACCTTTGAGCTTCTCTAACATAAGAGACAAAACACTTATATTCATCTGGATAAACACCAGGCCGTGTTTACAATTCACCCTTCTGTTGTTACAAATCCCACCAGCAAACTACCTTCGTTAAACGTTCCTGGATTCACACTATTCACACTGTCACTGCCTTGCTCGCACGTTTGCTCGCAGTCTAGTGCATTTTCCATTCTGGGCAAACTGCACTGGAAGGTGTTTCAGACTGTTTTACTGATAATAATTACAGTCATCATAACCATCTTTCTGGGTTTCCCTTTTCCACTTGGAAGTGAAACAAATTGGTGGTCACATGACTTTGGAATAGGTGGCCTAACACTTTTGTTTTTTAACCTAAAAGATGACCTGTTGTCTGAGGTTAAGCTGAAGTCTATGGTCTACTGTTTCTCCACAGGCATCACAGACACCTGGAGGGATGGAGGCTCTTCCGGACCGCAGCGCCTTCACTAGCGCTAATGCTGCACTCAGACAAATGTCACATGTCCTTTATGAAACATAATGAAGGCTTATGCACACCATTTAAGTTAACCGATAAAAACACAGAATGCCGAACAAACAAACAAAACAGACTAACCTTGCAAATGGAATATATGACAGGCCGTACCTACGAAAAACAGAGAATTTTATTAGGAATACAGCAGCACCTTAGGGATTAAGTTAAAGAAAATGACAAACGGGAAACAAATTCACATTTTTTAAATGCTGGATTGATTTATCATTTACATATTAGCATGTTGCTAAAGCCAGATTCCATACCAGCGGGAATTTATCTCAGTGGATCTGATGCACAGCAGCTGCACAGCTAGCCGTCTCCCCCACAATCAGCACTTCCTACCCCCCCCCCCCCCCCCCAAACACCGCGCCTTCCTGAGTGCCATCAGCTCACCCATCCCCCGCCAAGACCCCCCCCCCCCCCCCCCCCCACCCAAAAACAGCACACTCTGAAATCCAGAGGTTTTACGGACTCTTTAAACACTGGTTTTTGTTGATGTCAGGTATCAATGCAACAGGGACGGGTTTTACAGAACAAAGGCCCCTGCTTTTACCAGACCTGGCGTGAGCTATTTTGCCCTTATACAAATTGCCTGAGCTAAAAGCTAGAAAAATAATTGGTTGTTTTTTTAAAAAAAAAAAAAACATTAATTATGTTATGAAGCAGAATGCCAGTGGGCGAAAGCAAGCCAGCCTGTATCCTCGCCGGTGTCATAATTTGTTATTATGACTCTTGTCTCTCTGGGGATACTGGCTCCAGGTAACGGTCCCCTTATGAGACGGCAAAGAAGCTTTGGGGACAAAACGCTAAAACGTCCATTCTAACAACCATCTTTCTCTTGTCAGTTTTTTATTCTATTCTACTGTGATTTAACACTAAAGGATTGATCTGCCCCATCGTTGATCTCAAAATATTGTTGACCCACACCCTTGTGAGTCTTCACTCACCAAGCAAAGGCTAAGAACTGCAAAATGCAAAACAGCAAAGCAAGGCCATTGTTCTTCCACTGAAAGAATCAAACAGATATGAGCAATCAAACAGCGAAGTAATCAAAACATTTTTCTCCAGGATAAGACTTTTCTGATTCCGATTAATCGGAGAGTAACAAACTGTCAGCTCAAAAATAGCAATCCACTCACCCAAAAGGCAGAGCAGAGTGTCAGTCCAAGAAATGTCTATAAAAAAAATCACATTAAATCAAACATATAAAAAATACTCAGAAATGGAACAGCAGCGGTTTAAGAGAGTGAGAAATGTGTATTCTTGATTAACCTCAACCCTTACTACGCTATACAGTGGTACCTCAGTTCTCGAACTCATTAAAACTCGGATTTCTTAAAAGTTGAACCAACCAGTTAGAAAAAAAAAATTACCTACAACTCGATCTGAATCTCAGAAGTCAAACCGTGAATGCCGACCTAAGATAACTTGTACGCGTGGGGAAATGAGTCACGCGGCACGTCTCTCAGCGGAAACAAAGGGTAACGCTTCAGTCTCAGCCTCGCATTCGCTGTGATAGCATCATGCATGTTTACACTAGCTGAAAACATATACTTAGACAGTAAAAATACATTTAGACAATGGTAGACAGTAACAGTAATTATTATTATATAATAAAATACATTTAAAAATAAAGATTTCTTATTAATTATTTTTATATTAATAATAAACCATTAATACATTTAATTATAATAATATTGTCGTGCACAGCAGGGACAGAACGGAGACAAAGGCGCAGACGTCAGGGTATCGGGGAATACGGGGTTTAATTACAGGTAAGGCAGGCAAAACGCAGACGGACAATACAATAACCGGACTGGGGAAACAAACTGAAACGCGGACGAAATACAGAGGACTAATGACAACAACCAGAAACAACTGATCACACGGGGATTCCACACGGGGTTAACGAGGGGGCATGGCACACGGAAGGAGCGGACGATCGGGGCATGACACATTGTTTTTTTTAACTTTACACATTGTTTGGATACATTTATTTTCTTACTTTAAAAATTACTGTTTTGATAAATGTGCTTAGATCTGTTTAGTGCAGTATATGCTTTTCTTGTTTTGTCCGGTTCATTTTGTGTTTAAATGCTAAAAAAAACATATTTCGGTGTAATTTTTTTGGGGCCGGGAACCAATTAATTGGTTTCTCATTATCTCTTATGGGGAAAATTCGATCACAACTCGAACTTTTTAGGATTCCATCCTGAGTTCTGAACGGATTAAGTTCGAGTTCTGAGGTACCACTGTATTGCCAAAAGTATCGGGACACCTGCCTTTACACACACATGAACTTTGATGACATCCCATTCTTAATATATAAGCTTTAATATGGAGTTAGCCCACCTTCTGCAGCTATAACAGCTTCAACTCTTCTGGGAAGGCTGTCCACAAGGTTTAGGACGAGTAATGAAAAAAATTTAGTAGTGAAGAAATTTCACGAATGGACTTATTGCACAGATGGCAACCTATCACGATACCACGCTTGAATTGAGCTCCTGAGGGTGACCCATGCTTTTGCAAATGTTTGTAGAAGCCGTCTGCATGCCTAGGTGCTTGATTTTATACAGCTGTGGCTATGGAAGTGATTGGAACACCCGAATTCAATGATTTGGAGGGGTGTCCCAATACTTTTGGTAATATAATGTATTTCACTCACTAGTCCAAAGCTTGCACGCATGTTTCCTTCTTTTTCTGTTGCCCAAAAGTAAACAGCCCACAGTTACATATAAAAGGATTTCTGCATGAAGATGACTGATGCTCTGTAGACTCTCCTGGCCGCAATGAAATGGCATCAGACATATTGGGAGCAAAGTAAAATAGAGTAAATATTCCTATCTGCTTGTACCTGCATAATGTCACAGTATTACAGTGAGGAATTTTCTCATTTTTCTTGTTCGCTTCAGTAGGTTATTTGTTTACACTCCGCTGGAGATGTAGTTGACCCCCCACCGTACTGACAGACAGAACCCCCTTTGCTTTGCCAGACCCGACAAATTTGATTTTCCCCACTGCCTCCGCCAGCGGCTCTTAGCCCAGCCGGGCCCAGAACCAATGAAAAGGGGGCGCTTTGACCTCTCACCACAACAGCCAATCAAATGAGGGTTAAGGTCTCAAAAAACAAAGCAAAATAAATATATAAAACGGTCTATCAGCCTCTCCACTCGAGAAGGTACAACTTCCTGAGTACCGTCCATGGTCAAAATTGAAGCAACATGAATGCCAGTCATTGTAGTGCAGTTTCTTGTTGAAATATCCTATCTCATGAAATATAATTTCACTATATGAAGGGGGACACTCGTCAAATACATGACAGGTAGTGTACACACTTTGCACCCTCTGCTAAATCCAAACCATTCATCTTTTTAAGTGTCTTACAGCTAAAGCACCATACACACTATGCACCGTTAGGGCCTAGGAGAGGGGTGTGTGCGACTGAGCTGTGTGCATTCTGGGCACAAGGGGGCGCTATTCGTACACGGCCGGGCACTCACCAGCAGCAAGATGGTGGCCACCACACGCGTTTTGTCACACATCCGCTTCAGCTGCTTTAGTGGCCCCATCAAGAACATGGTGCTGTAAGGGGGGGGTGGGTGGACAGGATGTACATCATCTGACTAATTTTTTTGGAAGTGGGTTGTCTGGCAGAAACACTACTATGCTATAATGCGAAGATTGCAATTAAAATGAAACCTCAAATCCTCACGGTGTAAATTATAAATGTGTAGTTCAGATGCTCAGCTGTTTTTATAGCGGGAGATAAAATGGCCAGGGGAGAGTTCAGACTGATCAGTTTATTAAATAAGGCAGGACATCAAATAAACTATAATTGCACAGAAATCTCAGGCTGTCCGAGCTGCAGAATGACCGCCACGTTCCCAGGTCACCTAGATAAACAGTCATCAGATGTGTGTGGGTATGATCAGTATAGTTAGTATTTGGAACAGAATTTGTGCATCTACAAATGAGACCTACCTTAACAGAGAGGTAATGTTGCCAAATGTGTAAAAGACGATGAACAGTATCAATCCAATTTTCGGCAGCCACAGCAGACATACTCCCTGGCAGTAAAAGGTGACAAATGCGGAGGAACATGGGTTAACAAAATAAACAGAGAAACACATAAGCAACAGGTCCTCGTGATCCCATTTACGTCTAAAAGAGACCTAACTTTTAACTAGGGTGTAGTCTCAACACACCTAATTTGTAATCATTTGTCAAACGTTTCACATAAGAGACTATTCCAGTCTACAAAAAAACGATTTTTGCATATGTGGTTTTTCTAGTTATAAAAGCAAACACTTTGTTGTCTGTGCATTATCAACGCGACAAGTTATTTCCGTAATTCATTAAACAGCCCAAGAGATCGTAAACACTGCTGCAACTCTGAACATTCCTGTAATCAGGCTAGACCCGTCGCACCAGCCTTCCAATGGCATCCGCGCTTTGAAGCATGAGACGAAGATCGACATAAAGATGACATTTAGTGACGTCACGGCTCGGCAAGCAACACGAGATCAGTGGCTTGAAGCTCACCAGCACTGAACACACCACACCGAGGACAAAGCAGGCGACGAAGCCCTTCATCCGCGTCCCCCATGATAAAGTGGAGGCTTCATTCACCGCCTAGACGGGGAATTTGGAGAGCAGGGTGAAAGCAGTTTAATAAATACACAGGCAATTTATTTGCACTGACACTGAAGAACAGTCACCGCAATATTCCTGGAAAACATCTGGGAGAATCACAATGTGTATTTACTTTGCGTGTCAGATAGGAATGAACCGTACACGGTTACCAAATGCACCCATGCATTGTGCCGCTGGGTAGGTATAATACAGATCACGTAGGAAAGGAGTTTTCTGTGCTTTCTTCTGTAGAGAAAACGAGGTTTCTAGTTTCATGAAATTGCAACGCTTCGCTCTGACTAAATGCTCCCCCCCCATTCGTGTTGTTAAGCAGCACGTTTGTTTGCAATCTGACATCATTACTAACGACATGATAAAGTTGGTGTCCATCCCGTTTCGAGAGTATGTCTGACTGCATAACACATACGCGAACGGTATCATTATTAACGAAAACGTCCTACAACAGGAAAGTATCACAAATGCAGACCATTTTAAACCCGCGTCGTTTCACTTTCAAACGTATTACCTGCAATACAGTGGTGTCGTCGTCGTGACCACTTAGTACTTTCTTTAGTTTGTCCATGAAAACAGGGCAAACGAAATCTCTACTAGGTACGCAATACCTTTGTAAGTTATTTTTTCGGATAACTTCTTCTCTGCTCCCGATTTTCCCGTCGCAGCCCAACAGGTGGATTCGGCAGCTTCCGCCGGTGTGTTACGGAAACGTGACGTCATCCTAGGGCATGCGGGAGAAAACTACAATCCCAGGAGCCCCGGCCGCTAAAAACCCCTACAATGGAGATCACTCAAAGTATCAGCACTTTATTAGTTTTTAACGCTGGCATACTTAGACAAAAATAAAACATTATCCGTTCAAGCATATTAAAGCAGATTTTTGTTTAAAATTCATTCAAATGTATTGTGATTTGTCTAATTCAGTATCCTATACAATAGCCAACGTAAATCTCGTATCAACATTAACTTCAGGGGTAGGCCCGGCGCTTATACTTTATTACTATTAATAATGACAATCCATCCACTCATCGTGTAAGTGTTCATCCTGGTCACAGTCGCGAGGGGGGCCTGGCTCTGACCAGACCAGACAGCAGGACCGGACGGGTTGCCAGTCCCCCACAGTCACAGTGATGATAATAATAATCATTATTGCCATTGTTGTTATTACTCCCGAAATGATGATTATGATTTAGTCTGTCGTCATTCAAAAAACAAAGTGTGGTTTTAAAAAGCACAAGGGCCGGTCTCCGTGAACCCCGGGCCCTCATCCGCATGGCGACCCGGCAGCGCGACATCATACACCAGCTTTAGCGGTCACATCTGGATTAAGGTGCTGAAAGGGGGCGCAGAGATGACATTCCAGTATCCAGGATGGACCCACTTTTTCACGGTTCTGGAAGATCACCGACCGATTTTTTAGGAGTGAGGCACTTTGGTGGGAACTCCGCTATAAATGCAAGCAATGCAAATAAAACGAAAGCTTCAGTCCCCCGGATTTAAATTATAAATATGTAATTTTGATATAATGACTAGGATAACATTGCCAAGCCTACAGGACATCTACAACCACTAGTGCAGGACCAGGACAAACCAGATAATTGCAGACGTATTCAGGCAAACGCCGCCGGGGCCAGAAAGCTGAGAAGCTGTGGAGAAGCTTTTCTCGCAGGTCATACGAACTTTAAACTCTGCTTAATCACTGTCGTCTTTCATCATTGTCATATTCTGTGTTTGCATTATCCAGCATACATGGTCTTAAATTTTGATAATTATGCTACTTACACTGCATTTTCACTTTAAATAAAAACAGTGGAAAGATTTTGCATCTAACTTTTCACACTTCCAGTTACATTCATACATATTTTATTGCCTTATCTAATAGTTTGCCGTCTATTGTATAATTTACCTCAGCTTTTTCCCGTATAGTTTTTATATGTTTATGCACAGTGACGGACCTGTTTGGCCACAATAACATTTCACTGCCATTGCACTGTACAGTTGTGCATGTGACAAATAAAAATCTTCAATCTTGGCACTCGAACTGTTTCAAAATGGGAGGTGAATTGGGCAGAAGAGGATTTCCACACTGGTCAGTTAATTAATATGTGATCAAATAAACTCTGTCATTGGGTTTAACATTTAATCCCACAAACATCAGAGCTGTAAATTCAGCTACACGTATTGGAGGGTGGGTACGACGTAATAATTTAAATAAAATGCTCTATTTATTGGGGACGGGGGGTATGAGTTAATTGAAATTAAATATTGGGGGTATCTATGAGACCTACTTCAAGAGGGAGGTGAAAAAAATACGAATATCCGACTATACGCTCGTAAATGGTAATTCCGCCACACTCAGCGGACACATTCCCTGGCAGTAAAAAATGACAATTGTGGAGGAACAACGGTCAGCAAAAATAAAGAAACAGAAATAATGAGCAGTTCTGCGTGATTGCATACGACTTTTAATTAGACCTATAGATGCCTCAGAAGCATTTTGAATGTGGGGGGGGGACACACTGGCATAAAACTAATATTTTATGTTAAATGTGGGGGGGTCCAAACGAATAATTATGAAATGTGAGGGGGACACGTCCCCCTCAGATTTGATGGCGGCGACGCCCGTGCCTATGTACAATACCCAGGGTGAACTGCAGACTCAACGCGCCAATTTGTATTTGGACCTATTCAAACGATTCAGAGGAGTTTTACATGTTTGTCCAATTTTAAAAGCATACATTTATCCACACAATAGTGTAATTTCATCAAATGACAGAACAACGGAAAGATAATAGCACTGAAACTTTGCAGATTTGTGTAATGCACATGCGGTAGACATTCGTGAGAGCAGCCTAGACCAGCGTCCAGTTGGATGGTGTAGCGCCATCAATTAATGCAGCCTATCCTTCTAAGTACGAATAAAAAAAAATGGGACATCAAAAAGTTGGACATTACTCGTAAGGTATCAACATTCAATTAGCATAAAAGTGTAAAAAGATTATCTGTGTAATCATATTAAAGCAGTTTCTTTTTAAAATCGTCTCAATGTATTCTAGTCCGCGTAATGTAGACTTATGTAGTTTCCTATGTAATACGTAGATATCGTATGGGCAATTTACCGCAGGAGGCCACTTGCGGAAGTCGGGAAGGACATACAACTTACACATGGAGAGCGGATATCTGACATAATCTGAGTATAACCCTTAGAAATGTGAGGTAACTTTACAGCCAATAATAATAATAATGAAAACAACAATAGCAACATATTATTATTGTCAATTATTATGATTATTTTTTATTTTCCCACTAGCACAGTGGTAGGAGAGCACAGTCTGTCGTCAGATAAAATGTCGTTTTAAATAGCCACGAAAGAATAATTAAAACAGGAATCGTTAAAAAAAAAAAACAGGCAAACGTTACAAATAATGACACTCAAAAGCGCATTATTAAGTATCCCTGTAGTCGCTTCAAAACTGAAGAGAAATAATTACTGGTTTACTCACGAGTAGCCGCTGAACAGCAATTTACCCAAATGTCAGCAGAGCCGTGAGGAAATTAAATGCATACATTTAATAATGAAATCAACATAAACAATGCAGATGATACTCCAGGAATAATTTATATACACCGTCTGAATACTTCCCGATTAATATCAAGGTCAAAATTGCTAATTTAAGTGTCCTTTTACCCTTATATTTAATACATCATAGCAGATTTACACGGCAGGTTGATAATTTACACATTACTAAAAGGAATCCCATTCTTCGTAATACAACAAAATTAAACGCTGCGTAATAAATTACGATATCACGCAATTCAAGATTATTTCCAAATTGCACTTAAATCCGTATAATAAAATAAAGCTATAATTATCTGTACTAGATTCCGAGGATATTAATTAAAAATACGTAATAATACAAACCATGAAAAAAAATGTTTGGCTGTAATTAAAGTCTTATGCCACAGGACGGCGCTAAAATATAATTTCATTAACAAGATCGTATATCTCCATTAGTCCAGTTGCCCTGAATAACCTTTCTTGGGGTAATCGTATAACTTCATATTGACAAATGTCTCCAGTCTGTCAAAAGGAAAGCTTTTATAGCAATTATCTTTTATCAAAAGAAATGCAATACCAGGGTGGACAATGTTCAAGTTCATTAGCTAAACAGAGAAAGATTGTAGCAAGAGTATAACATATGAAATGTAGTGTGGTATGTCCTTCAGTTAGGTACAGAAAAAACCATCAGCCTCCCACGACCCTCTTGGATGCTGGACACGGAGTGGGAATGGTCACAGGCCAGGGGTGGGGAAGCCCTATTCCTCATGTAATCAGTGTGAGGCTAATTCAAGGACCTGAGCTGAGGGGCGTGTCTGTCAACTAATAACACACTGTATTGAAATGAGGAAAGTGACTGTGTCCAT